CATTAGCTTTCGGGTTTCGTAATAGACAGCAATATCTTTGCCACCTTAGAAGATTTCTGATTATTCTCTTATAAATTTTGATTGAAAACGATACAAATATGTGTGTGAATGTTAATGCTTAAATACCCTGACTTCTTGTGAAATAATAACAACTTATAAAGATTGCAGCAGCTTTAAGAGTACTGGGCGTGTACCAGAGGTTGATGTGACAGAGGCAGTGTTCTCATACAGTGAAATTGCTTCTCACAATTCATGCATTCTCAGTCTTCTTATCTGTAAATCTGTTTGTTCATTTTCCCAATACCCCACGTATTACAAACCCTATTAGTTTTTCTTTACCTCTGTGAATTAGTGAGAGTTTCAATAAAAGAAATTTATTTTCAAAAGGGAAACATTTTAAAATAATTTACATGTTATCAAATATCCCTTCGAGAATCTAGGATAAATTTTGCTATTTCTAATTTCGGGCTGTAGTTTCCACACGTGACCCTTCCATCGATACATCACCATAAGTTACAGCTCTTAAGAGCTATTTCAGAAATAAGACGTGCCGTTTCTTAGCAAAGGTCGAGACTTCAATTCCGATTCCAGTATCATTCGCTGGTGTCCTCGTACAGCCTGAGATATTGGAATGGCAAAATAAATACAAGAATTACCAGTATTCTTATTGTTATTTGATGATGATGATGAGGTAATACAGTATTAACTTCTTGTTAGAAATATTATTTTCGACTTCATCCATTATTGCAGTTTGCTGAAACCACTGTGTTCCTTAAGCTAGTTTTGTACTAGTCTCCATCTGTTCTGGTTACGAAGGAACCTACACTGCTGCGACCATTGGACCGTGGCAAAATATACGTAATATATGTTTTCCTATCCTATTCATCTGAAGACTGAAATGCGGCCATTTTCCGAAACCTGGTAGTTTTGATATGCTCGGGAGATGGTGAAATCCACAAAAAATCCTTTTACGCCGTGTGTTATACAATCGACAAGAATATCCAAACTTGGCTTACGGGCAATATTATGAGAATACGCAAGTGAGAGTGGGCCACACGTTGCCATTCCACGGGCGCTGCATTCCTGACTCGTGTTCTTAAAGCACTGACTTCGTTAATGCAGGAGACAACGCCCGAAATGTTTCTTGTTCAGCGCTTTGTTCTCATTACTCACTTACTCGTGGCGCTGAGCCCTTCTTGAGGAGCCGCCAATTCTGCAGCTACTCAAGAATTTCAGAGCATTTTATGGAACCCGAAGGTTCATTACCTTGTTCACAAGAGCCCTCCACTGGTCCTTATCCTGAACCAGATCAATCCAATCCATCCCATCCCATCCTATTTCACTAAGATTCATTTTATTATTGTCCACCCACTTACGCCTTGGTCTTCCCAGTGGTCTCTTTCCTTCTGACTTTCCCACCAATATCCTATATGCATTCCTCGTTTCCCCCACTAACAGAAAACATTTCATTAAAATTTTTAAGATCAAGTAAATTAACCTGTAATTGTAAAATAGTTATATTAAAGAAGTTCTGACAATTTATCGTACAACGCATGTGTGTTTAAGATTACAATTCACTTACAATGAATAAACTAAAATTTCATTTTTTTAAAGGAATAAATTCCTATTCACTGTGCAAATAAACGTTGCTTTCCTGGTCATTTCCTCGAAGGAATAATGGCTGCATGATATAATACTGAGGAGTTGCTCTTTTCTTCAATAGCGCATTTTACGCTATGAAAGCACCAAACTTCAAATATGGAAAAATTGTTGAAACATTAAAAAGCTCACGACTACCACAAATCATTTTTATAGACAGATAACTTTAAATAATCAGATAACTATTAATACACTAAATTAATAAGATAATCATTTGTATTCTTTGGAACAATTAAATACTTTAAGGTCCTCAAATTGTAGCACAGGAACATCACTGCTGCAACAGATGTACATCTGAAATGTTTCGGACAAAGTTCCATTCCATAGGCCCCTGTATCACCAAGTGCAATTTTCTCAAGAATTCATTATCCCTGAGATTGTATACGACTATGACTAAATAAAAGGGATAGATCCTAGTTGTGTGAAATGGGCCAGATGAATGCAAGAAAATGTCGTTCATTAAGGAAATTAGAAATAAATAACTTCTCCAGTAAAATTACTGGGATTGTTAGTAAGCAGAACAGTGCTATCAGCCGGAATTCGGTGCACTTGGACAATGGCATTAATTCAGATTATATTCAGTTTTGTGAAGCGCAATGCAAACATGAACTAACTTTTCCTTCTCATCCCGGCAACGATCACATGACCATATTGTGAGTAAAAAGTAAAGCTACTCCTGTAACAGGCCGTGAAGGCCCATAGGGCTGTGAGACGATATTATAAAAACAAACTCCGTGGTTCTAGTCCGCATGCGAACTATACCGACTGAGCGACCGCCGCTTGTCGAAGTTAGTGTCAATTTTAGCGGATAGATGGTATTGCGTGGTCATTGCAACGAATCCCCACCGCCTTTAATTTCGGTTTTCTAGACCGGAGCCGCTATTTCCTTGAAATAGCTCCTCAATTATCCTCACGAGGCTGAGTGGATCCCGTTCCAGACCCACTACTTTTCAGAAAATCTGGTAGAGCCGGGAATCGAACCCGGACCTCTGCATCTGTAATCAGGGACTCTGACCACTAGACCACAGAGACGGTCATGGTATATTATTATTATAGGCGCCCGTAATAATAACCCAGGAAGGAAATACATTTCACTCTGGTGTGCCGTTGTTATGTGCCTTACACCAGTTTTACTTTATAAAGTAAAAATATATTTAACTTGGTTCATCCTGGCCCTTCACATCAGTAACTGTATATAAGATTGTTAACCACCGCCAGTTGATTGGGAAGAGTTGTATTTCTAATTGTCATCCTTCACATGTTTCGGTCGGAGCGACCATCTTCAGAAAGATATTAGCAATATATACAGAAACCACTATCAGCATGTCATGGATATAAATGTTGTATCTTTTAACTAGTGGTAACATGTACACTGATTTGTTAAAACATCTAAAAATTATTACAATAACTGTGTTTGCAAAGTAGTGTACAATATTTGTTCTATTCTAGAATCAATTTGGTCTGTATCGTTCCATATCTTCTTAATGGAAGACGAATATTTTCCACAGCATAGCCTGAACAACTGGACCGCTACACCAAACGCTTTGTCACCAGACAAGGAAACCGCTCTGTGGAACATATTCGGAGAAGTGTAACGGCACAGACCAAATTGATTCTAGAATAGAACAAATATTGTACACTACTTTGCAAACACAGTTATTGTAATAATTTTTAGATGTTTTAACAAATCAGTGTACATGTTACCACTAGTTAAAAGATACAACATTTATATCCATGACATGCTGATAGTGGTTTCTGTATATATTGCTAATATCTTTCTGAAGATGATCGCTCCGACCGAAACATGTGAAGGATGACAATTAGAAACACAACTCTTCTCAATCACACTGGACGGTGGTTGAAAATCTCTTATGCAAAAGATTTATCTTCCACAATAGACTTTTTGGTTTTAGTTTAATTTGTAGAGATTCTGCAAAGAAATACATATGTGGTGTTTAGATTGCTGATAAGGGCTCTTTTAGTCTAAAACACATGGACGAATTTTGTTGTTAACATAAGAAAGGTACTGATTGGTGGCCTTATCACACCATGAGTTAGAGCAGGGACCCTTTAAGAAATGTGAAAATATCAGAATTATAGCCAACATTAGATCATTAAATTCAGTGGTGCTTTGTTGTGACACGAGGATTTAGCACTGGTCGATGTTAACAGAAGAGAATGCGCTTATGTTTAATAAAATTATGAATTATATTAAAACGACTCTTCAGATTTTGATGTTCTAAAACACAGAACGTGACACGGGCACGTGTTTCTCTTGTCCAGATGTTCACGGTTTCTGCCTTTGCATTTGGATTTGTCCTTACCTCTAACCCCGTCCTTCCCTGCCGATCAGCAAGCAATCAGGAGTGCATATCCGTTCTGCGAACCGACTGAAGGTCTTAATATTGTATTTCGCCCTTTAAATATGAATATACGCAAAAGAAAGGGTCCACAAGAACGCCATGCAAATTAATCACATATGAACTTTTGTCATTATTACAATTTGAGGAACTTAATCATGCTTGACCCTGGAGTCAGAAGCCTACAAGTTATATAAGATTATTCATTGCTCTTGTCAATGTAATATAAATTACTATTTTTTCAGTAACTTCCAAGAGCTATAAGCGGCCACTCTGAGGAATGTTCACAATGAAACATGAGAAATTATCTTGATGTGTATGCAGTCAACATAACATGCTGGCAAACATAATGTTTTGTCTTTATTCTGATTTCAGGGTGTTACTTGCCTGCTTATTCTTCAGCCCTGATAATGGAGACGGTACGATCCTCCGAAACCCGAATAAACTTCTATCAGTCTGTAAGGCGTAACATCGCCAAGAGAATGTACTCCATGGTAATTTATTTTACGAGTACTCAAGTAAAAGTTGCATAAATGTTTCGCCATCTTCCTCTGCACGTCCCTCTGTCTGGAGAACTTCAGGACGCCTTTCCATGAAATCTAACACTAGAGAATCTTACGAAAATTTGTCAAGCCTCTTCACTTACCACTCAGATCGGCCAATTTAACTACTTTCCATGTCCCCGTCCAGAGGATAAATCGGTAAATATTTGCCAGAGGAAAAATATTTTGGACAGATTTTTGGATAAGAAATATAAGAGATTATGACAAATGCACTTCTTCTGCAAGCCTGAGAGAGTTCGAAACAATTAAACAAAAGAGATTTTATGCTGTGTCATATCGTGACCCTACAACTGTTGAACTGATTTTGATCGGAGGCCCTAGCACAATTTTTAAAACAATGAGAGAGCAAACGCGCCTGAACTTTACGCTTTGCGCATACTCGTATTTCACAAATAAAATGAAAGAAGATGCAAACCGTCTGACTAAACTAGAAACAGGCGTCAGACACGATGTATGGAAGTAAGTTTCCTCTCCCTCCGCAGATGTATGGCGTCTTTGCTGTTGTATGACACCCAGCGCTGCCTATTGTGAACTTTCAGATGTTTCGCTAGGTGGTCAGACCGTGAAAATCCCTTCTCACACGTTGGACACTGGTAGGGCTTAACTCCTGAATGAGATCTTCGATGACGTGAAAGTTCATCTGATCGGGAAAACCTCCACTCACACCCAGCCCACGTGCAAACAAACGGCTTCTCTCCTGTGTGTCTCCGAAGATGCGCCTTCAGGTGTGATGACTTGGCGTATATCTTCTTGCACCCATTGAATGTGCAGTGAAATGTTTTCTCTTCAGCGTGGGGTTTCGCAAGGCTTCCTGATTTGGGGGAAGAAGTGGGGGCCATTACCCCGTTCATATGAATATCAAGTGGCAATGCATTGAGTACCGGGGACAAAGAATACACTGTTGCAGGAGACGCTGCAAAATGTGGCGGTGATGTGACAGGAAATGTAATAGGATTTATTTCTGGAGTTGTTACGGGTGTCAGAAGCGGTGATATAGTATAAGACGGTGATGTTGATAGTTCCAGAACGGTATCGGACCCTCGGTATGGATGAAAGCACCCCTTGGAATTCTGCTCAAAATTTCTGTTGGTGTAATCGTGAGACGCCAAGGCTGCTGACGCAGCGTCAATATAGGAACCCTGTTTCTCGATTTGTTCGCTTTCGTTTAGAAAGCCACGACCATCCGCAGGGTGCTCTTCATCTATGGATGGCAACCATGAGAACTCATCGCCAAGCGCAGACAAGTTGACCCCCAGAACCACAATTGGTGATGCTTCTGGTTGATACTGCAGTTGTCTTGCACTTTCGTCCAGGTACTCTGAGCAGCTGTCAGTGCAATACATGGTCCTTGCTGGTAAACGCTGTGAAGGCGTGATCACTGAACCGTTCAATTCGGGGAAGAAATTTTCTTCCCGCCAGAATTCCACCATTTCGGTCACAGCCCCGTCCGACATTTCCTGCGATAGATCTGTGTACGAAAATTATAAGTATTAGTACAAGTCATGTTGACAAAAAGGACACTTTTTCCAATATTTTCTTAAACTTTATTAGAGATTGGTAATTTCGTAAATATTGATAATAAAACAGATCATACAACTATAAACTCTTCACGAAGAAATATCTCGGTCTCAAATTATTTGTGCAGACTATACGTATTGTAGTATTCAAAGTTTTCCAGCATGAAACACTCACGTGAGCAGAGCGGCTTATGACTTCTTGTCAAAATACCACCAAATTCTTTCTTATCTGCTAGGTTTTGAAACGTGAAATACTATAAGTTAATATTACAGAAACTAATTCCTACCCACACAGAAAACATACTGGATCCCCATTACAAAAACTTACCAGTAAATGCTATTTAAGAAAATAATCACAGTTTATTCTAAGAAGCACAAGATTCTGAAATAAAAATTCACATTTCCTTTCATTTTAAAGCAGCTGGGGTATATACTGCTTATATGGGGGGTGAACGCACTGGCTACACTGGAAGAACTTCAGTTGGCAACACTGAGCGTTCTTCTCCCGTTTGTGTACACCCCGTAGTGACCGTGTACGAAGTGCATTAAAGATTGGGTTAAGTGACAATCCGTGTGAAAAATTAGAAAATGGGAGACTTGTCCGATGCTGAAAGAAGACAGATCATTGATGCGCGTTTAGTTTGAGCATCTGTGACAAAACTATCACATTATTAGGCGTATCGAGAGCGACAGTTTCTGAGGTTCTGTCGGCATACAGAAATCATGGGAAGACAACATCAGCGAAGAGGAACAGTGAGTAAAACTCAACATTGACAGAAAGAGATCGTCATAAATTGGAGTGGATTGTTTTGAAAAGTCACACAACTGCTACAGCACAGATGACTTGCATAAGAACTGAATATTCATCTTGAAGACTGTTCCTACAAAAACAGTGCGACGTGAGCTTCACAAATCTAACATCCACAGTAGGGCTCCAATGGCTACACCTCTGATTACTGAAAGTAATCAACCTAGGTTGATATAATTAATATAATTTTAATACTGTCAAAGAACTACTTTGCACAACATTCAGGAACCCTTAATGTAACGCCCCTGATTTTGCTCTGGGCCTCAAGTTTTCGCCTCCCACCACCTTTCTTTGGATGACAGGAGAGACCTGAGTTCAAGCAGACACCATTGATTTGAATTTATCATACAGCTGTGCACCGTGACTGATCTGACTCAGAGCTCACCGAGGCTCCGTGAAGGCACGAACGTTCCCTATCATTCTCACCCTTTCAGAAAAATTGGCTATGAATATTAAGGAATATTTCCAACATATCTCTGGCCCTGTTTCGTCCCAAGTGACACAGCTTATGAACTAAGTTGTTGTCAGCTGAAGATGGGTAAGTGACTATATAGTTTAAGCAAGGCAACTCTAAATGTGTCGGCATTGAGCAGACCGCACATTTAAACGAATAAGCAAGTTAGGTATACCACTTGTTCTGTAAATACAGTGTGAAAATGCGCAGAAGTGAAGCTGAATTATCAAGAAATTGGGATATATGCCTGCTTAATTATTTAAAATCCTTTAACTTTATGGAAATGATACACTTAGTTAGTTAGTTATTATAGAGGGTGGGTTTCCCCATGCACTTAGACCTGTAGTGGTCCATTGTGCTTCCCTCTATGATTTCTACCAGCCCCTATATCCTACCGGTATTGGTGCTTACCATCAGTCCCACCCAGCCAGCGAGACCGGCTCTCTACTGGCTGAGAAGTGTCTATAATGCTTCCCCCATCTACCGGAGGTATTACTGACTGCTGTTGGGCGGCAAACGTCCGCAATTTTGCTCAGTGATCTCCTTTGGAGGTATGAGGTTCTTTTACGAGCCGTAAAGCTACGACACGGGACCCACGGCTTAAAGTCCCTCCCGGAGGACTTGTTCCCTGAATTTTTCCGCCCTTAAAAATTCGACGACCTCCGCCGGGTATTTGAACCCGCGTACTAAAATGATACACTTTATGTGTGAATATTGTACAGTTATGTTCTTAACTCTTTATTAAAGCTCTACATACAGAACAACCCACAAGCAGAGAGCCCAGTGATCAGCGCTGCCCAATGTGTATATATGTGAATATATAGAACTAGTATAGCGACTGGCTACGAGAGTCCTGTGGTTCGATTCGAGGCAGGAGCCAGAATTTTTCTCCACAGAGTCCAGGCATAGTGATAACACGAGTACGTGTTGTGATATATGATATCTTCATTGTGACTTGCCTGATGTGTTGATGTCTGAAACTGCTGGCCAGTCAGCCCAGAAATCCAGGCTACCGCCATAGGGCACTGGACTTTGAACTGGCGATGGGAAGAGGGAAGACATGTCAAGTGCAGGGTAGACGTAATCCATAACCTAAAACATACATCACAAATAAAATAATGTCATTAACTTTCAATTTGAAGTTACACTGTATAATCTATCATCTGAGGTCTTCACACAGTAACCGAATATATGCGAATTTTTCGTGTGCGAATTATTGGAAAATTATGTTATATAGACAGGTCTTGTCCTCTGGTAAGCTGGGAGAGGCGGCCTAGAAGACTGTGGGGAGATTTCTGGCTGAGTGATTGCTCACTGCATTAGCCGGATGTCAACTTAAATTAAATAACTTCTTGCTTCTCATTAAATATGAATATATATAATATTATTTATTGGGATCCGTCGCAACACAACATGATGGTCAAGGTCAGCATTGCCTTAGCTACATGTTTCAGCTTTTAAAGCCATCATCAGGCGAATACATGGTTACTGCAGTCACACGCTGTTGAAATGCATTTCAATGTGATGGTGCAGTGGAGCTGGATACTTGACAACTGTGTTACACTATAATAATACAAGGTATAAAAATACAGTAAAATTATTATAAAACGAAAGTTATACAATAAAATATGGTTAAAAACTATTCACGTAATGTTTCATACTATGAAGTCAGTTGTTGCGTTATTGTTGTTATATTGTGTATGTGAGTGTAGTAACCAAGTATTTGCCTGATGATGGTTTTAATAGCCGAAATATGTAGCTAAGGTGATACTGACTTATACCGTTTCGTTGTTGTGTTACGACGGATCCCAATAAAGAATTTTATACAATAAACACAACAGGATGCACCCAATGAAAATGAGAAGAAAAGTGCTGATAGTGGATATAATTACTGGCCACGAAATTTGAGAGTAATATGACAGTATTATGTACGCAACATTGTTATATTAAAGATTAAGAATATTGTTAGTTCCAATATATTGGATATTATCCATCGCCGAAGCTTTGTGCTAAATATTCACCGTTTAGGAAGGACGTTCTGCTTCCGTCCTCAGGCAAACGGAGGGGATGTGGAAGGACCTAATCTCTGTCGTCCATTAGAAAGAGCTAGTCTCAGTCATTGGATCAAACAGAGGACAATTTCGAAGGAACTGAACCTAGATAGGATGCATACCTATGGAAGAAATTACTAAGAATGTAGTTAACAAAGGTAGTGACTGAAACCAGCAACACGAATGTTGATGAAAGTGAAGAAGCATGAAACCACGAAACGAGAGCAGACCAAATGAACGTACATAAGCGGGAATGAAAGGCTAAAGATGAAATAGATTTCATACTTTATGTTAAATTTAATTAAGGCTAAATTTTTTTATCTTAATATTTGAAAGCCTGAAATTCGTCTAAATAATTAATATTGTCGCGTATCGGGTGTATACCGCGACAAATAACTACACGATGTATTTTATATAGCGAATTTAATTTCACATTCGCACTTACAATCACCCAAATTACGGATTTACGATTACTGCTATCTGCAGTATCACAATTAGTACACTCCAAATGCCACAATACAACTGACTGGCTGACTGACTCTGAATCCAACTCGGCGACTGTTACAGTACAACTGACTCGAAGCCACTGTGCAGCTCACTTATATAGCTGCAGTGCTTGCTTGTTGCGTAATGAGTGCCACGTCATCCTGTTACGTCACCGCTGTTGATTCGCCTCGCATAGTTACCGGTTACGGGGCTCGGCTACCTTCGGCTCCGCTCGGCTCTCTTCGGCTCCGCTCGTGACGTCACCGCGCGTAGCTGCCAGGATGCGGGGTGATTACTCGCCTATTACGCGAGCGTTACGTTACCGCTGAGGGGTGGGAGGGGAGCGCTGACTCACCCGCCGCGTCACTGCTGGTGTGGGGGGNCGCAACATGTCACAATATTTAAAAATTCAGTTCCTAACTCAAAGAAAACACATGTGCATCCGCTAATGACGTTTAGAGAAATAGTCACTTCTTATTCTACGAGAAACATAGGTATATTCCTCAGGAGCAACCCTTTTCTTTAGTGTCGAAACATGTGATATAGTTGGGAGCCACTTTGCTTTAGAGGGTTAACCTCCTGATGAAAAATGTATTTGATTAGTAATTAAGCAATATCGAGTAAATATTCAACATGTTACAAATATTCTGATGGAAGATCGGGTCAAGAGCACAAGAAGTGCACGTATGTTTAGAAGTGTCAATTTCTTAGAAAATGGTGATTACGAACAAAACCAATCATAACAGAATCCTGACTCGGGTCCGCAGTGACTATCACCGCTGAGTATGCAACGGCAATACATGCGAGTGTTGCGGGATTTACTAATGAAGCCACCACTCTATTCATATTGACATTGTCAAGGAAGGGAATACAGAGAGGTCTCGGCCGTCTTGCGCAGCGTGCAGACCTGCGCACTCACATACCTGCAAACCCAACTGCCACAACACAGATATTTATCGGAGTAAGAACAAGAGTATTTGATCAACGCGTTGTAAGGCAATATCTCCGTAAACAAGATATGCGCACGCAACAGTGGCATAGGTTTCCTGCGTGTCCGTCAGTTTGCTCGTGTGCGGTGACGTCACAGAGCAACAGGTGGGTAGGGGTCAAGTGATATGTGTTTACTGTTTGGTCAATGTCGGTCCGTCGGCTGCATAAGTGAGCAGAATTCCTGAGCTGGCAATTGCGAGAGAAACAGTAGTGGCGGAAGCACGCGAGTGAGCGAATTGGAACTCGTAAATGACAGAGTCCTGAGTTCGTCGTAGAAGAGGAATAAGAAATTGGCCGGTGAGAATTTTAGAGTGTGATTAGAAGAATTTGCTTATGTGTAATGCTTGGAGTGTGTAATCCAGTGAGACTGTTACAGTTTCTGTGTTGAGATCCGTTGCCAGGAGACGACTAGTGAAGATAGAATCCTGGTGCGTGTGCAGCGATGAACTGGCAAGTGTGTAAATCAGCTATTGCCCTGTATTGCTCGTATTGAAGTGTAATTAAGAGAGAGAGAGAGAGTGTAACCGAAGAGCTAATAAATCCAATAAACCGAACCATAACCCGCCATTCTCCTCATGCGTACCCCTCTACACGTGACAGTATTAATAATTGTCTTTGGAGTGCTTGGATGTTAAAAAGTAAAATATTAATATTATTACTGATATTTAATGAAATTATTATTAATAGTATTATATACCACATTCTAAAATACAAGGATAATTTTACTTTGTTCACCGTTTCCAAAGTTCTGCGTTTCACGGCGTCCTGTACGCCGCAGGCCGCGAAGCGCATATGAATATTGACGATGAATCAGCATGTCTGAAGGCCGATAACGTTAGGAATGAAGTATTTACAATTTACGGATCACAGATGGTTTGGAGATGTTGTCCACTTACGAGTAGATATATGTCGCATTTAACTGTTTCGTTAAGAAGCACGTGCACAACAATCATTCTTGCAGTTACAGCACTTAATCGCTTCTTCCTCAAGTATATTACTGTTATCCTCTCTCTCTCTCTCTATGGAGCATAGGAATCGCTCAATGCTCTCTTTCAAGTTTTCCCTGGTTTCAAATTCTTTCTTTCTGTTTGGGAAGTTGGTCTCTGAGTTCCTGTTCGGTGTAGCAGGGACTTAACTTTGTCCTATGTCCGCTCCTCATGTAAAAATTGCCCCTCTGCTAGATGTGCATCAACTGCTAATGATGTCTGCAGGGACGTTGACGTATTCGGAGCCAAGAGAGTTATCCTTAATAATATTTTATATTTACATATTATTTATATTATTATATTGTCTTTATTATTACATGCAGATATTTAGGTATGTATGCATACTATATCTCTCGCCGCATTACGGCATAACCACTGCAAAAGTACGTATCTTACTTTTATCACCTGTAAATGATAACTTTTTTTTTTCGTGGAATTATAATTATTATTTCATAAACTGCTTTATTTTGTGTTTTGTTTGTAAGGTTTGTTATTTCTTTCTTCGTACTCGTGCTAACTTTGCAGTTGGCCTCTGGGCTGTTAAGTGAACAAGAATAGAATCTCATTATTATTATTATTACATGAACTGCCTTACTTCTGATATTGTCTGGTTCATCTTCCTCGCCTTAGCTTTGCAACTGTAAGTCTCCGCGTAAACACATAAGAATTTAATTGCATTACTTGCAGGAGTCGCTCCCCTGAATGGTACAGTCTGTACAGTGGCTGGCTATGGATTAGATGGTCGGGGTTTGATTCACGGCAGGAACAAGAAATTGTTGTTCCCTCCCCAGCGCCCGGACGGACTCTAGGCTCGGGTACTCAAGGTCCTTTCACTGGGGTTAAAGCGGAGGGGGTGGGGCGAAGCTGATCACTCATCTCTATCCAAGGCCGAGGTCAAGAAAGGAGCTATATCTCCACTCTTTCGCAATTCATCATGGCGCTGTGGGCACTTAAATGGCACAGAGACAACTTTGCTTTTGTTACTGCATTTAGGGACGCTGACATACACAGAACCAAAACTGTTTTATTGTGACGGCAATTTCTCAGTCATTAAAATATTGATAAAATTAAGTATGAATGTAAGCATATTTTCTTTTATCACCGAATAATGGCTGACATGATTGCAGTTACTGAATCTTTATTATAGTCTAAATGATATAAATTGCCGTATGTGTCTTTTTGCTTCCGCGTATGTATTGGTTATGCTTTCGTCTTTGGCTAAAGCGCACTTATAATTGGCCCCCGGGTTCTTGGGTACGCATGTAAATAAATTAATATTTCACTGAATTGTTACTATTATTATTGTTTTCTATTATTTTTCGATTCATGAGCAAATTAGGAGTTTCAATTCGAGGAATGCTTGCTGTCATTCAGTCCAGAAGCTTCTGGCTAGTCGTCTGCTATACTAAGCCCTAGAAATGATAATATACAGTTGTACAGTTGTACATTAGTCTGCTGTCTAAAAACATAAAAATTGGAATATACAAAACTATGATTTTGCCTTTGGTTTTGTAAGGGACTGAAACTTGGTCTCTGATATTAAGGGAGCAACACAGGCTGAGAGTGTGTGAGAACAGGG